TACCCCCTCCCCTTCCCCTCTCCTTCTTCTCCTCCTCCTCCTGCTCCTCCCCCTCTCCTTCTTCTCCTCTTCCTCCTCCCCTTCTTCTTCTCCCCCTCCCCTCCCCTTCCCGTCTCCTTCTCCTCCTCCTCCTTCTCTTCCTCCTCCTCCCTCTCTTCCTCCTCCTTCTTCTTCTTCTCCTCCTCCTCCTCTCCCTCCCCCTCTCCTTCTTCTCTTCCTCCTCCCCTTCTTCCCCCTCCCCTTCCCCTCTCCTTCTTCTCCTCCTCCTCCTCTTTCTCCTCCTTCTCTTCTTCCTCCTCCCTCTCTTCCTCCTCCTCCTCCTCCTCCTTCTTCTCCTCCTTCCCCTCTCCTCCTTCTCCTCTTCCTCCTTCACTTCTTCTCCTCCTCCCCCCTTCTTCTTCTCCCACTCCCCTTCCCCTCTCCTCCTCCACCTCCTCCTCCTCCCGCAAATCTAAGTGTTCTTAAGCCAAACCAGTTTCTGCCATCGACTTTGCTTGTTGGAAGCCAACTGGGAAGGTCACAAGGGAATGGGAATGGAATAGAATAGAATAAACAGAGTTGGATGGGACCTTGGAGGTCTTCTAGCCCAACCCCCTGCCTATGCAGGAAACCCTACACCACTTCAGACAAATGGTTATCCAATCTCTTCTTAAAAACTTCCAGTGTTGGAGCATTTACAACTTCTGGAGGCAAGCTGTTCCACTGATTAATTGTTCTAACTGTCAGAAAATCTCTCCTCAGTTCTAAGTTGCTTCTCTCCTTGATTAGTTTCTGCCCATTGCTTCTTGTCCTGCCTTCAGGTGCTTTGGAGAATAGCTTAACTCTCTTTTTTGTGGTAATCACAATGAGTCTGGACATTGCAGACCTCGAAAAATACACACCAAGCCCCTGAATATTGACCATATGGCTGTTGGGGAGCCGCAATGTTTGTAAATCTGAGGATCAGTTGTAAGTTATTTTGTCAGGGCTGTTATAACTTTGGACGGTGACCTAACAAGCGGTTGTAAGTTGAGAACCACAGGGAGTCCTCAATTTATAGCAGTATAATTTATTGACTGTTCAAAGTTACAATGGCATTGAAGAACCTACGACTTTTTCACACTTATGACCATTGTAGTCTCCCTAAAGTCACGTGATCAAAATTTGGCCACTTGGCAACTGACTCCTATTTATGACAGTCACAGGGTCCGGGTGCTGCGTTGATCCCCTTTTGCAACTTTCCGACAAGCAAACTCAACGGGGAAGCCAGATTCACTGAACAAGTGTGCTACTGACTTAACAACTGCAGTGATTCACTTTAACAACTGGGGACAAAAAAGTTCATAAAATAGGGCAAAATTCATTTAATAGCAGAAATTTTGGACTCAATTGTGGTCGTATGTTGAGGACCACCTGTACCTGTGTCCATCTCTTTCCATTCTATATCAGAAGTCTGGATATAAATCAGGATTTCTTTGCCAGGTCATTCCTTTTAGAACCGTCTTTAGTGGAGCAGATGAATTCTGCAATGTCATTTGCTGTCGTTTTAATGCATTTAATGCATTGCAATTGGTTTGAGACAGAGAAACGCTATGTCCGGTTCAGATATAATTGTGCCATCACATTAGAAAATGCAGTGTTATTTATGCTCTTTGATCAAATCATCCAGGTTTCTCTTTGCCTCAGGCTTAATCTTAAAGTGGCACTTAGTGTGCTTGGAATTTTTAACCCTGGTTGTTGTTATGGTGGTAACCCACCAAGGAAGGTTAAGCCTTGAGAATGTATTTCTACGATACCTAGAGTGCTATTCAGCAAACAAGCATTAATCCGACGGTTTGATGAGGAATGTACATTGCCTTGCAAACCCAAAAAATCAGAATGATAAATGCGAAGAGAGTGGATTCCTGCATTCATACAGAAAGGACGGAAGGAAGAAGCTGCCTTCTAGCAAATAGGTCAAGCTTTTGCTGAAAAAGTCCATTTCTGAAGATAGTTTGGTTTCATCTATTTCAAAAAGGAGTTTAGACTGATCAAGCAGGTCAGACTGGTCTTTTCACAAGCTGGGCTGGCTTTCCGTCGTCCTGAGGAGGTGAAGTTGGAGTAACTATGAAAGAAAAGAATTCCACTTTCAAAAGTCTTATCTGATGCCTACATCCTTTTTTTCAGTTACAGATTAAGTCATTCCTTAAACCAGATTGTCTAGATTTTAACAGAAACATTTGGAAAAATCTTTAACAGGCTTGAGGTACTGTAATATTCCAAACAGCTACAGATAGTCTTCGGCTTACGTCCATTCATTCAGTGACCATTCAAAGTTTTGGCCAGACTGAAAAAAAATGGATACACGACCAATCCTAAAAGTTCTGGCGATTGCAGCACATCTGCTGTCAAGTAATTGTGATCTGGCCCCTTGTGTGCCCAGCTCACAATTGCAACATCATTCAGAACTGCAGTCACGTGATCCCACTTATGACCTTCTCTGCCAGCTTCCCACAAGGAGAATCAATGGGGAAGCCAGCAGAAGGTCACAAATCGCCCTGATAAGTAACACACATGTTCCTGCTTGCAGCACATACACAATACCCATGCATACCTTCTGCCAGCCTCCCAGTCCCTCCTTTACCACTACCCCTACCCCTATCATGCCTTACTTTGGACTCCTGCCATTTCTCATTTAAGAATTGGCATGTCTTGTGGTTATGAAGGCAGCCAGGACTATTGAGTGTTGTCATCACTAAGCAATATGGTCACATGACATCATGCCTTATAATCCCATCATTTATCACAATAGCAATAGCAGACTTATATACCTCTTCACAGTGCTTTACAGCCCCTCTCTAAGCGGTTTACAGAGTCAGTCTCTGACCCCCAACAATCTGGATCCTCATTTTACCCACCTTGGAAGGATGAAAGGCTGAGTCAACCTTGAGGCGGTCAGGATTGAACTCTGACTGTGGGCAGAATTAGCCTCCAATATTGCATTCTAACAACTGCGCCACCACGGCTCTCTTATCAACAGCAATCCCTGTCCCATTTCTTCTCACAATCCGGGGGCTACTTGTATATTTGTATCCCCTGTGCTTATTCCCCTAGCCCTTTATTATCTATTCCTTTATTATCTATCCTGAGAAGTAGTAGTATTGGATGCAATCCCTATAATAAAATATTTCACCTTATTTTTCCAAATGATCACGTTTGCCTCAATCTGACAAGATTATTTGCTGCAAACGTGACCTCAAGCAAAAATAAAAATAAAAAGCAAACCATGAGTATGACATATGAGACTAACTAAGTGAAAGGAAGGTCTAGGGGAGATACAATAGCAGTCTTCCAGTATTTGAGGGGCTGCCCCAGAGAGGAGGGGGGTCAGGCTATTTTCTATAGCACCCGAAGGCAGAAGAAGAAACAACGGATGAAAACTAATCAAGGAAAAAAGCAATCTGGAATTAAGGAGAATTTTCCTAATGGTGAGAGCAATCAACCAAATGGAACAACTTGCCTTCAGAAGTTGTCACTGGAGCTCTATCACTGGAGTTTTCAAAGAAGAGACTGGACAGCCATCTGTCCAAAATGGTATAAACTCTCCTGCTCATGTAGGGAATTGGATTAGATGACCTCCAAGGTCCCTTCCAACTCTGTTCTTCTGTGGTATGCCATGTTCTATGTTCTAACTACTGTTGTGTTCACCTCTGTGTTCTGATCCATTTGTTTTCTATTTTATCCTTTGTAGCCGGATTGGCAGCCGTATTTGCCCCAAAATGGAGATTACATTGAGGTGGCCTTCTCCTATTCTCCTGTCTTATGGCCCTGGTCAGGATATCTCGCCATCTCCATCTCCGTCGCCAAGAAAGCAGCCGCTTGGGAAGGCATAGCTCAAGGTCACGTCATGATCACCATTTCCTCTCCAGCAGAGAATGAGGTTGGCTGAACCTTTTAAAAAAACAACAACTTTTCCTTGTTTTGATGTATGCAATGCTTGAGGCCCTGGAACACAAACTGCTTCAGAGGGATGTGCAGCCTCATTGCACGTGGGCATCCATTGGTTGGGATCTCCAAAGAAGTTAACTTCTCACTACACAACACTGACTCTCTATTAAGATCAGAGTCTGTGGTCTAAGAACCTTTAGTACTTTTTTATTTTTATTGTAAAGTTTTTTATTGATTTCTCAATTTTAAAAATGTAAACATTCCATTTGTCCTTAAAGAGTATGTCGTCATCCTTGTCAACAATACTCCCCAAAATACAAACCCAATATACCACTTCAACCCTCCATACACCCTTTCTTTCACCCCCTCCAATTTTCCTTTCTCCCCTACAACATTCCCCTCTACCCTACTTCCCCTCCCCCTCTATCACTCCTCTATCCCAAT